ACACAGGCTGCTGAAGGGTATTAATATTGTGAATCTAGGAAACGAAGTAAGAAAGAGCCCAAAGCAAGACCATTGGTTAGGTACCCCGCCCCTGAACGCGAGTCTGTCCTCTGGAATCTGACTCGAGAACCCCATCACTAACATGCAGGGTATGGCCTCAAAGTAGGTGAGCTCCAGAGTGGGGCTTCCAGAAACGGTGTCCAGACTCCAGAGTGCCACCCTGACCTACTGGCTCAGCAGCAGTCCTAGGTGGGTGGCAGCTGGCATCTGGGGTTCAGCAAACCCCTGCAGAGGTTCCGTGGCCAAACCCTAGGGAGCTGAGGGTCTTGCGTGCTGGCTTGCGTAGGGCTGGAGCCGGAGCGGGTGGGCCTGGCTCCAGGTCCCAGACCCCACAGACGGAGTGTCGGGCAGCTCAGGGCCCCTTCAGAGCTGGCGTGTTCTCCCGGCTCAGGCTCCCGGGCATCCCTGGCCAGCTCTGTGAGGGGCACAGGCGGGAAGCAGTGGGGCAATGGTGTGCCAGGTGGGCCTGTGCGGGCTTTCGAGGGCCCGACATGAGCATCCCCTCCCAAGACATCTTCAGTGATGTCACCCTGGTGGCTTGAAATCGGCCATGGGTGCACTGACACATGGAAATCAGCAAATGCTATACACCCGTGTTTTGTTTTTGAACTCATTAAAAACGTTCAGCCCATGGGCGCCTGGGTGGCTCAGTCGTTAAGCGCCTGCCTTCAGCTCAGGTCATGATCCCAGGGTCCTGGGATCGAGTCCCACATCGGGCTCCCTGCTCAGCAGGAAGCCTGCTTCTCCCTCTCCCACTCCCCCTGCTTGTGTTCCTGCTCTCGCTGTCTCTCTCTGTCAAATAAATAGATAGAATCTTTAAAAAAAACAAAAACAAAAAACCGTTCAGCCCAGCATTCCTCCCTGGAGGACAGACGTGGGGGCAGTGGGTGTCCTTGGAAACAGGCGATCTGGCCGTGGAACCTGACACTTGGAGATTAGATAGTCCTGGCTTCAAAGCTTGGCTTTGCTGGTTAGATGCTGGGTGCCCTCGGGGAAGTCGCCAAACCTCTCTGTGCTCTGGCTTCCTGCTCTGTAAGCTCAGCTAATGATCCTTACCCTGCAGAGGACAGGGTGTCAATCAACGGGCAGAGCATCTAGGAAGCTCTAGCACAGAGACCCGCGCGCCATACCTGTGAGTGTACGTGTCAGCATACTCACGTGGGACCGGCTGCTGGGACGGCCATAGGTTCTTTCAGGACCCCGCGATGTGGTTCCCAGAACCCACCTTTCAGCATCTGGTTGCACAGTGTCGGGGGGCAAAGGTGACAAGTGCCTTCTTGACTAAGTCACTAGGTTCATTTCCCAGACCTCTGAACTCTACCTGCCCCTCTCAGCACCTGAGCTGCCCTCTCCCCGCTTCTTCCCAATGGGGGCCTGACTCCAAATGCAGGGGCTCAGCCCGGCTGTGGGAAAACATTCGGGGCACCGCAGCGTTTGCAGACAAATACAGAAAAGAGAGCCTGGTGCCCTGAAAACCCAGGACGGCAGCATCCTCGGGAAGCCCTGCACATCACCCCACTGTGCGGGGCCCCCACCCACCAGCAGCCTGGCTTTAGGCCCTCTGTCTAGGCCCCCTCGCAACTCCCATCCCACCCCCGCCCCTACCCAGAGCTTTCCTAGGATTCTTCCCAGCCTGAGCCCGATGCTGATGGGGAGAAGGACGCTCAGCCCTGCTCCCACCATATGTGCAATTTCCAATCAAGAGAAAAAGGCAGCTCTGGTCTGTGATGTTGGCTTAAAGCCCCCTGGCCTGAGAGGCTGCTGGCCCTGCGGACAGCCCTCGGCAAGCTCCACTCAGGGCCGGTCCAGGAAATCCTGCCATCTGGCCGGCAGGTCCATCCACCAGCAAGCGCACCTGCTTTGGCTGGGCAAGGGACTCGGTAAGCAGGGTGTCACCCCCAGGCCGGCCGAGCAGTGGGAGCCTCCTGAACCTGCCTTCGTGCGCACTTCTCACCAGCTCCCACCCCTCGCCCCAGCCCAGCTGCACCCGCCTAACTCAGGAGCACCTGCTAAAGAGCCTGGAGTGTCAAAGAGGCCTGCCGACCTCCTCCCTGGCTCCCTGGGGCATGACAGCCTCTTTGCCGGATTGTTCTAGCATGTGACAGCCTCAAAGGTGGCCAGGAAGAGGGAGCTGACATCTGAGTTCCCAGTGCCCTGCCCTCTCCACCCCACACGCCCAGTGCGCAGACTAGAATGCTTACCCACAGGAGGAACTGGCCTGAGGAACGTCTTTTCCTTCCCTGCACTGCTGGTGACACACTTTGGAAGAGGTCCAGGGCCTAGGTTTGGGTGAAATGGAATGCTGGGAAACTCACTTTCACAATGATGCTGAGGAAGAGAAAGGGTTCATGGGAAACATTCTAAATTGGACCAAGGGGAAGGAATGTGGTCAAGGCCCTACAGAACAGTGTCCTCACCAGCCTGTCCACAGTCGGAAATTCTACCATTAGTGATTCACTCCTTTGGCTAGCATAGCTGACGCTTCTGGAAGAGCGTCGTCTTCATTATCAAAGGCTGCTTCCGAAGCGGGCAGCCAAGGGAGCTAATCAGAATACCAGGCTGGGTATTTCACATTCGGTACCTTACCGAATCTTTAAGCAACCTTGCAAGCTGCTGCCTTGTTATCCCCATCTTATAGTGGAGGACACTGAGGTTAAGGAACTGGCCCAAGCCCTCACAAACAGAAGCAGCCATATTTGATGTCAAGTCCAGCAAGACAGATCTCCTCCCTTAAACAGCTCCTGGGGTGGGGGGCAGGTGCAAGGACCAGGGTGACGAAGGACAGAGCTCTGAGCCTCGGTGCAGGTAAGCACGGGGGGTGGCGGGAAGCAGGCGGGAGCCCCTAGGAAGGCCAGAAATCCCTCAATACTGATGCCTGAGCAGGGCTTCGGAGGATAAGCAGGAATAAGATGGGTGGATGAGGGGGTGAACTGGCACCTCCAAAGGGGTGGGGCATAAAGGGGCAGGCTGCCTTGGGGAAAATGCAAGATCAACTAGCCAAAAAAAGGAGGGGGCAGGAGGCAATCCAGGTGTCACATGAGGAGCTCAGCTCCAGAACCCCTAAAGAAGTCCCAGGTCAGTGTCCCCAGGCTGCCCAGCCCTCGTCCTATAACAGGGCCTTGTCCCATCAGCACCTCAATGACACGACCTTCATGGACAGCACCTCAGCACGGTGCTGGTGCCGTGCTCTGGGAGATTCTTGACCGGCTTCCAAGAGCAAACATGAAACCCCTACCCCTGCCTCAGGCCCAGGCAGAGATCACTGTTGCTGTGTCCCTGTACCACCCCCATCACCGGCAAGCCCCTCCCTAAGGGGGCTCTCCCCGACAAAGCTTCCTCGCCCCACCCCAACCTCCAACCCCGACCTCAAATGATGGTGGGCAGACCAGATGAAGGCAGCCTGCAGAGGCTGGGAGTGCCAGTGTAGACAGACAGACAGACACACACACACACACACACACACACACACACACACACACACACACACACACACACGGCAAGAGGACAAAGTCTACCCCCAAAGCATCTGCCAGCTCAGAACCCACCTGTCTGAGGAATGTGTCTGATGATTTAATACTGGCTTCGGTACATGGGATTCCAGATGCTGGAACCCTGAAATACCTTGGAATGCACTAGAACTAAGCAGAAGGCATCCTTTCTTGGCCCAGCCAACTCTGGTTGGGATAGCCATAGGCTGAGGCCTGTCTACCTTGAGAGATGCTCGATTCAGAGATTACCAGATTCCTGTGCAGCTCAGGAGCTGGATCCCCTCCCCAGTAAATGTCCAAGTGGCAGCTACAGAGGGGCCTGCCCAGGCCTGGGGGGATGCTATGAGGACAGGTCCCTGGAAGCCTTGTCATGGGCTACTAGGGACTTCAGAGGTGGGGGTATCCCAACACTGGAGACGCTCTGCCCAGATCCCTATCAAACTAGCGAGGCCTTCCCTCTGGGGCTCATCCTGAGGAGCCTCCCAGGGCTGCTGACTGGCACCAAGCGAGAATCCGAATGTTGGCATCACAAGCACAAGCCCTAAATCTGGAGCAGGTGAGCAAGTCCCCAGGATCTGCTTGCCCCCCCGAATGAATGGCTCTAATAATGTCTCTGGATTTTTGCAGCAGAAGAAATGACCAAGTAACTGCTTCCCCAACCCCCACCACTCACTCACTCCTCTGTACTGAGAACCAGCTATGGTGGAGCAAAAGGCCAGGGGCTGCTCAGGCTGTCTGCCTCAGTCTCCCTTCATTGCCCCCCAGACAGCCTGCTCTAGGAGTTTCCCCAGTAGGGACAGGTGTCATGTCAGGAGATAAGCAGGCTCCCCCACACAGTCTGGCTGTGATCCCACTGCAGAGCACATCAGACAGGAAAGGCTAAGGGGTGCCATCGTGAGTGCTGAATTGACAGGTCGTGGCTGCCCAGAGCACCTCCTGAAGAAGAATCCTGATTCTGCACCATGCTGCAGTTGATTGGTGATGTCTGCTACGGTCACGGATATACACCGTCCCTGATCTACAGGCTGGGTGACTTTCCCTGAACAGGGCACAATTCCCCAGCCAGGACTTTGGTAGCAGAGGAGGCCCTGGCCAGCAGGATACAAACAATCCCCTGACTCCCTAATAGCGTTCTGAGGGCCTTAAAGAGTGCATATGGGCCCAGGGTCCCCCAATCTGCCAGGACAGTGTCTGCTCCCTTTTCTGAGGACATTAACGTTGGTTGTATTAGGAAACACTTGCCTAGGATAGAAACACGTTACAGGGTTAATTTCTCCTCTGTCAAAATGACTAAGGGCTTTCTTTCTCACCTGGGACCCAAAGGACATTCTGGCCTCGGACCCATCCAAAGCTCTGCCCGTGGACACGCAGACGGGCCTGGGCGCTGTGCTCTGGACCAAAGTTCACAGAAACACTTTTCCTGATGCTCTGCCCCGTGCAGTCTGGGCCACCTCATTTGGACACCTTGGCCTGCAGGGTGCTGGGCAGATAGAGGTACCTCCAGATGGCATAGTAGTGGGTGCCAGCGCCAAAGGCCACAAAGAGATGCCAGATGGCGTGAGCAAAGGGGATCCTGCCGTCACTCTTGAAGAACACCATGCCCAAGCAGTAGAAGACCCCTCCGGTCATCAGCTCCCAGATGCCCTCGGTGTTGGGCTGTCGGCAAGGACAAGGGTAAGGCACAGGTCAGAGGAGCAGCCAGCAAGGCTGGGAGCCCCCCGCCATTCCCCCACCACCCCAAAACGAAAAGAGACATGGATGGCGAGCCAGCCCGGATTCCCAGGTAGGAGGTCTCGACACGTGTTGTCTGTTCTCCCCAAATTGATTCTCAAATGTTGCTCATTTCTACCAAAATCTCAAAGACTACTTTCTAGCTTGTCTTTTCTAAAAACACATCTGACCGTGTACCCCAAAGAAGCAAAAGCAGGGACCTGGACAGATCCTGGTACATCCAGGGTCACAATGGCCACAATGTGGGAGCAACGCATATGTCCGTGGATGGATGAATGGATAAACAAAATTGTTGTTCGTGGGATTTCATGCCATGGAACCTTACTCGGTTAAAAAGGAAGGAAATTCTGGCACCTGCTCCAACACGGATGAACCTGGAGGACACGGTGTTGAGTGAAGGGAGCCAGGCACAGAAGGACAAGTACTGCAGGATCCCATGCATACAAGGTCCCCAGAGTCCATCGAATCCATAGAGACAGAAAGTAGGTTACCAGGGGCTGGGGGAGGGGGAGCAGGGAGTTTGCGTTTCACGGGGACAGAGGTTCAGTTTGGGACGATGAGAAAGTTCTGGAGATGGCTGGTGGCGACCCCTGCACGAAAATGTGAACATGCTCCCTGCCACTCAACTATAGATTTAAAAGGTTTAAAAATCGTAAGTTTTGTGTACACTGTATCACAATTTTTTTAAAAGTAATACATGTCCAGGGTGAAGAATTTTAGAGAAACCCAACAAAAAACGTTAAGAAAAAAGGAGTCGTCCTAGCCATCAGAGACAAGCACTTATTAACCCGAGTGGGTTGGTGGTTAAAGGGAATGGCAGAGACTGAGCGCAAAGAACCTGCCACACCATCGCCCCATCTCCCCGGGTCCTCTTGTATACATGTTACAGGCTACCACTGTTAACAGTATCCTTCCAGAAACGTTCTCCCCCACGTGCAACACGGGATACGCATGCACTTCATAGTAGGTACTATGCACAGGAACTGATCATTCCAGACAAAGGGGCTCATGCCATCCCCACCATGCTGCAACTCCACGTTGGGTTAACTGCTCTGTGGGGGACCAGTCTGCACCCCACAGCGAGAGCCACCTCCAGCTCCTGAATAGCTACAAACCTCCAGCTCCTGAATAGCTACATAGTATTTCATCGTCCCTGTGGACACTGATTCCCTCAGTCCTGGAGAGCATCATACTGGAGTATTAATGACACAGTAACAGCTTTAGGAATACCTAGTGCCTCCTCGCACCTGCTCGCACCTCGCCTAGTGCCTCCTCGCACCTGCTTCCACCTCGGAGCCTTCACAACCACCTTATGAGGCAGGCATGACTGCATGTGGCGGTCATGGAGACGTGCACGGCACATGCTAAGTGAGGAAAGCACGTTGCAGAGCTGGACGTTTTGTGTGACCTCGTTTTTGTAGAAGAACAAACAAGTCCGTA